ACGCACCACAGCTCAGTGACACGCATCTAAAACTTTGAATCCTTCTATTTTTTAAATATTTTACAAATGAGTAAAATGCATACTAAAACTTACGGAACAGTAAATTCTGTTGCTTTATTTATTTGGTTATTTCATAACGTGCGCACACGTGCGGGCAGGGGATTGGACGCACTGATTGGACGTGACAGCTCCTGGACAGCTCAGCTGTGTCAAGTTTGGAATATGAGGCGAATTTCATGTCTTTTGCGGCCGCTGCCAGAAATGGGACAAAGGGCTCAAATTTTCATGTCTGAAACATTGTGAATGTCTGAAACATTGTGATTGCCACTATTATTAATAAAATGTCTGGCAACAGGCTGGTTAGCATCGGTCAATGACAGCATGCTGATTGACCATAAATTGCAACTTGTCAACAGCCAGCCAGAAATCTCATAGTGTATAATACCATATTAAACTATGATAATACATAATATAGTTAGTTTTATTATCAAAATTAATTATTAATTAATTATTTTATTATTTACAATCGTACTTACTGTAATAATTTCGCGTGACTGCAAAAAGTTGCAAAATTAAAGTCGCGCGAATAAAAAACCTCGCGAAATGTCCGAAATTAACTGTTTAGTGTTTACCTTATATTGACTTGTTTAGAATCCTTATATTGAGTTGTAGAGAATAAAACGTTCTTCAGAAAGCTTTCGTGAAATTTAATCCCCATTTTCTATTTTCGCCGTTGCCCCGCCTATCAAAATAACGAAAATAAAATCTCCAACTGCCCTCGCGCAAAATGCGGGAACATGATCACGTGTTCATCATGTGGTATTCTATTTATATTTTATATTCAAGGAAAAACATGGCGAATGAAACTGCAAGAAATATAAATTGGACTTATGCACAGGCGAAACGAAAATGCAGTGAAAAACATTCATGTTTTGTTGAAATAGAAACACAAGAACACATAGCTTTATCTCCATATTATATTGGCCGTATTAAACACGGTGTTCAAGAGCAAATTGAACATAAAATACAACGTTGGAAATTTCTTGATGAATATGGCGGGATTATAGTTGCTTATGATAATATAAAAGTACTGCAAAGATCAGCAGAGATTTATGATGAATCTCCATTATTACATTTTGATATTAAAGTGAATTATATCATATTTAAACCAGAGATTGGAAAGAAGTTATTTGGTGTAGTAAATAAGACAAGTAGCAGCCATGTTGGTTGTTTGGTTCATGAAAGATTTAATGCATCATTGGCTAAACCAAGATTGTGTAAGAACAGTTGGGTTGGGAGTAATCTGGAGATTGGAAATGAGTTTGTATTCCGTGTTTTGGATTTAAGGACTGTTGCAGGAGTGTTGTCAATTGCAGGACACATTAAAGAGAAAGACATGAAGTATGTCAAGTGAGTATTGTCAGATCAGTTGAGGACAGTATTAAAAATTAATAGAACTGGAAGTCTGGAATGCTGCCTTCAGATAAACTGCATATTGTTTTCTTGAAGTCAAATCTGAAGCCAAACCCTGCGGTCAAGACCCACATGTTTATTTTTGGCACTGTTAAAGCATTGGGGCCAAATAAAAATAATAGTTGGTTTCAGGTTTCTGACCGACCTGTCAAAACTATGACCGACCATAAACATTTTATTGACATTTCTGTAAAATTAAAACAGTGATAGCCAGGGTCTTAGCTAGGATTTTAGATCTTGGGCGTGTTTCTAATAACCAGGGTGTGCACATGTCAATTACCTTGAATAGCCAAATTTACGGTTCTAGTTTTGCTCGCCAACAACATGCAAACAATGCCTGTTGTTGTTCTGTGCTTCGCAACCAAAATACAAGGCGAGCATAATTACGCTCATATTGCACAATGACATTAGAATATTAAGTTATTTCAGCAACCTTGGGGGTATTTATAACCATTTTAACACCATACAGTTCCCATTATCCATCAAAACATTAAAACATTACGGATCACTTAATTGCCAATTTCAACAACAACAGTAGATTTTACAAACTTTCTTATGACGTAAATTGGAAGAAATTCTGTCTGTTGTAAGTACTGTAGCACCACCTTATTTTATGAACCTACACGGCCTTATATAAATAATATAAATAATGAAGCCGCGTTCATTTTATCCATTTTATCCGTGATTTTCCACTTTTGGCCGCGATAACACGGCCAACAGGCCCTCTAGCTAAGACCCTGGCGATAGCCATTCATCTCTGTGTCAAGTACCCTTTTAATGCAATGTTTTGAAAGAAACTTTGTGGTAATGGTAATGAAGGGCAAAATTGGATTCATCAGTTGTACAGTCATAATTCATTAATACACTGATACATATGTACACTACATGCATCCCTAACTTTCTATGGGAGTCATGAGCTAGATGGCTGCACCTCCCCTAAATTTTTTTTCACCTCCACTACTTCCACCAAAATCCAGCCTTCATTATACATAAACTGAAACAGCTGGTTAATTAAATCTTAATGAAAAGTTAGTGGTAATTGAGCTTTTGCACACCTTGCCCTAGGACTGATCAGGGGAAATGATACTACTCAGGACTATAACAGCAAGAAATTGTTTATGATCATCGGAAAAGTACGGTTTTCACTGCCAAATTGCCATAATCGAGAACTTTGGGAATGATATTTCAAGCCCTGCTAACTGGATATCGGTTACTGATTGTGGTCTATTGCTTTAGTATGTGCTTTATCTCTTTATATAATAAGCATAAATATTTGTGGCATAGGCATTGGTTAGGCAACCTTGCCAACTTATAGCAGAAAGCAGTTTATGTCACGATAAAATTTTCTGCATGCCCAGTAAATTGTTTTAACAGCTTTTTGAGTTTTTGAACAATGTCAAGCAGCAAGAATGCACACAGGACTCAAAGACCCATGTCACCCATTTCAACATTGCTTTAAATTTGTTTACTATATGAGGGCAAAACTAGTCCAGATGGCATGTGAATGTTATTGGATGATCATTGTTTAAATAAAAAAGTAGTGTTCAGAAATCAAATGAAGCCTTTATAAGGTATAATACTGGTGCTTATGTTTTACCTTAAAGCTATTTTTTAGTACTTTGAGAGGATTGAGTTGTTTGGGTGCTATGGAGCATGGGCACAGAATAGAGAGAAACAGAAGATCGACTTCTTGGTTTTTCCTACGATTTCGGCGTAACCGTAATTCGTCATCAAAATGATGACGCCAGTGGTCCTAGCCAGTGCGCTTATGGAAGGCATTCACCCCCCTTATAAAATTCAAAATGGTGGACATCCATTGGGTAAATGCCTCTTATACACCACTGGCTAGGACAATGGCATTTCAGCATTTTGATGACGAATCATGGCGTGGCATGGGTGGTTACGTTTTTGACTTAGCCGTCCTTCTGCATGTCTTCATTCTGTGGTATGGGCCTACTATTGTGCCACCTATAATAATGTCAAACATCTGCTGATCTGGGAATTCTATTGGAAACTCTGCTTGTTTCATATTTTTCTAGGAGTGGGAATTCAAGATCAACTGAAGATCACAGGTTGTCTTTAGACCAATCTGAAGGTAGTGCTGAAGACAGTGAAAACAAGAAAAATAAATCACTAAAAACAAATCATGAGGAAACAGTACTGGACATTAACGAAAACTCTTGTAAAAAAGAAAAAAAGAAGCGTAAAAAACATGATGTGCAGTCCCAAAATAACTCAACCTCAGAATCAGGTGCTAACAAGAATGATTCTTCAGTTAAAAAACACAAGAGGAAAAAATTGGATATTGGGTAAAATTATTTTTGATTCAGGTAGTGATGAAAAATATACCTTATTCATTATTTATATTTGTGTGTTTTATCCTATTTTTGTTGGGCAAACATCTGTTCATATTTTCCTGCCAATATAGTTTAGTGGCTTTAATAGGGAGCAGTCATTATTAATGTTGTGAGGTGGGGTGGAAGACATTTGGAGATACCGGTATAATTGTTGAAAAACATCAATGACAAGTGTTTTGAATGCCTTTTACTACTAAAAAATGCTAACTACAGTATAGTATTGTAAGTTCAGAGTTCAGTTAAGGGTACATATATATCCCAACAGTAAGTCATTATCAAGCAAAATACAATGACACACGGTACACATAGTCGTAAAATACAGTATCTTCCACCCCACCCCCGGTGACCTGATCATAGATTGTGACCATTCACATTATGCATATCTGGACTGATGGCACAGCCTCAAAAAGTATGGTCGCGCGGTGGCGAAAATATGAGAGTGATTGTTCATGGAGTTGACCACTGACCAATACTCAGAGCTGAAAGTATTTTGCTATGTGCCAGCAGTGCTGTTTTACTCTCATATTTGTCAGCTTCAATTTGCCACCCAAGCCTTCAGTCAAAAAGTATTACAGGATTAATAATATACATAAAGATATTACTCGACTGTGATTGGTTGATTTCAGTGCAGTTAATCCCAAACAGCAGTGCAATTTTCTGTAATCACAATGCAATTTTCTGTAATCACAGTGCAAAAATCTGTAGCAAACTGATCTGATTGGTGGAAAAACATTGTGATGATTAAATCAACCAATCAGTTTAAAGCAATTTAGTTTAAAGAAGTAACTGTCACAGATTGCTTCAAAACAAAACAAACATAGCGCAGCGCTACACAAAATAAACGTTGCCTTCGCGTGGAAATATGGCTTTTATCTTTATTTTTAAATGGAAAAGCATTTACCTTAAACAAGACTAACAAAAATTACAATCGTTGAGTGGAATTTTCAAGCTGTTAGAGTTGTATAATGTGATATAAAAAGCCAGGAAAACTTTGCCAGTGGAATGTTCGCTATAAACGCGTAAGTTAAAACTACAATTGTCTCGAACATTTTGATGTAAATTATTAATAAGTGTTGGATCGGAAAGCTAGATTAAGACGTTAAGGTTAATAAGTGCATCATTGTGAATGACATTCGCGTCTGTTAATGATCACAGAGCAGTCGAACTTTTGCCAGTGTAGATAATCAGCCTTTATTTTATCTCAGAATTGGTTTAATATGACAAGTGTACATCATGACACGCAAACCAGTGCATGGGTCAGTATAGTTTTGTAATTCAAGGAGAGAGGACACTGCTACATCTTTTAGAGGATATTTATGGTAAAAGAATAGACGAAAAAGAGCGACAGGGAAAACATCTGTACTGTAAGTGACAAATTCATGTGCATGCAGTTTATAAATTTATTGTGTAGTTATGTTTTATATAGTTAGTTTATACGATTTAGTATTAATTTAAGTTATATCTGTTCTATTTAGTCGAACCACGTTTCACGTTTTATGTTCACGGTTACTGTGCGTTTTACACGTTAAAGACTTTTGTTGAAATTATATACTTGAAACTATCGTCTCGAGTTTGCGATCGTGTATTTCGTTGCCGTTGGTTTTGTCAGAATTTGTTTATATTCTGAACTATTTCGCCACGTGCGTTTGGAGCGTTTTCCAACTGATTCATCAAATTTTCTGACTATACTCACATGTAAGCCTACGAACTGAATTTGGTCCTGTCGTTTAGAAGTAGTGAGGCTTACAATAAGTAATAGCATGGTTCTCGTGAAATTTGGATAAACATGCACTCGTGAGTTTTTCAAAGACCTCAAATAGCACTCGTCCTTCGGACTCGTGCTATTTTGAGATCTTTGAAAAACTCACACGTGCATGTTATATCCGAATTGCACTTGAAACCATGCTATTACCTATACATACAGAGTGTGTTGTTCATTTCATGATTTTTTTATAAATATGGATTGTCTGGGTACTTATAATGTAGAATAAACAAAAAAATGTTCGTAAAGATAAATTTTCCAGTGCAGGAAGGGTGTCTTTTTTAGCAGCATTAAAAATAGCTTGCGCGCGAAATTAAAAAGTTTAAAACGCATTTTGAGTTCATGGGCGAGAAATTTGTTATGTGTTTTATGAATGGTCCAAATATCAGAGAATGTACTCAATTTTAAGTCCTTTGAATAGTTGCTGAAACTTTCATTTTTTGGCACCATGCATTTACCTAATTTGCATATTGTTATTGTAAAAATTATAATTTTAACGTTTAAGTTCAAATTCAGGTAAATCCTTTGCCAAATGCCACCTTACATGTACACTCCAACTCCCAGATGCTTCGCCATCTTCCCGAATACATGCCAATTAAAAAGTGCCCCTGTACGAAAACCCTTAATTCCCAGCGAGAGTTTTGTCTTTTGATTAATATATACCGTACTTTCGAGTAAGTGATCTACTCGAACCGTCCTGACCGCGTAGCTCAGTTGGAAGAGCATTGGGCTAGTATTCCAAAGGTCGTAGGTTCGAATCCCACCGTGGCCGGGCATATTTTTCAAGCTCACCCGGTGTGGATATACACTCAGAGTAACACCACAAATATCATATTCACCTGAGTACACTACACCAACACAGAAAAAATGTTTCTTAATGTGTTGTCGGCAGTCCTTCCTTTCCTTTCGCATGCCCGGAAATCTAAACCCGCGGAAAGGACCAATGGCAAGTGCCATAAATACCACTTCAAGTATATCAGACGAAGAAAGACTATAGGCTGTGCACGGTTGACGATTTGTTTGCTGGATATTTCGTTGCCTTGGTAGCCATGGAAGTGTTACAGTAGAAGGGGAAAGAAGATCCTATACCAACCGTTTGGCGAAAAGTTAAACCTACTCCAAATAACATCATCTTTGGACTAACTGAAAACAAGACAACTTTCATAACGATATTTCGACTCCATTTTAAGGGTTTAAGTTTTCCGCAAATTTGTTGTTTCACACAGAGTACCGCTGGATCATCTCGGGCTCCGTGCAATAACCTTTACAGATAACTGTTTTCCTCTGTAAAGTGGCGCGTGCATCTGCGAATACCAAGAATTATCTCCGGGCTATTACACTTCAAGTAAATTCAGGTAAGACCCGATTCCGACCAAGGAGGAAGGTTGACACCACTTTTCATGTATAATTTCTAGATCAACAAAGACAAAGTGACATGAATACCACTTCAAATATTTCAGATGAAGAACGAAGATGGGCTGTGGTTGGCGTTTGATCTTAACAAAGTTGTTACTCCTCATTTAAGAAATATTCTTACAACTGAACCTGGTAAGATTATATTGATTGTACCACTTTTGTAGTTCAGTTGCAAGAATTTGAAAACATGCAGATTTGATGTTTCAATCACCTGATCAAATTGACAAGCATGTTTTACCCAAACATAAAACAACAACAACAATGTCCACAAATCGCCCAGAACATATAACTGTACAGTTAAAGATCGTTTGGCAAAGTTGTCCAACCTTTCATGGCAAAATTTACTGCTTTTGACCAAACTATGGACATGTCTGCAGTTTTGTCAGTTATGTGTGAAGCAGATCCATTTGTAACATCTGGCGCTGCAGTTGATGCAAAGACGTATGTCTTACAGAAATATGTGGGCCCATTGTAACTTCGGATTGGACCAAACCAGTATCCATGGCCGCCTTTCTAGACATGGGCTCTTTAGTGAAGATGAATCTACCACCAGCTAGTGGAAAAGCATTTTGTGATGCTTTTTCATCCGCTGGTGATAAAATTATCTAATTTAACACTTATTGACTGAAGCCGATGGGAAACAGGCATATTTTGTGGGCCTGAGACTGCAAATGTTCCCCAATTCTGGGGAAATTTCAGACTTCGGTAGGATTTTGACCCGTTCAGTCTAGTAAACCAGCAAATTGTAAAAATTCCGATTTATAATTATAAATTCCCATTGTTTCAATGTCTAAATCAAACTTTTGAAATGGAGTGGAAATATCAAGAAATCTTCGGATTAATAGGAATACGACTTGAAAAATAGAAGAACGTCGACGTTTCGGGCGAAGGCCCTTCGTTGGGAAGTTCGTAGCTGCTGCTACGTGTCATGCACTTCCATGACTACCGAGGCAACAACCGCTTGCTAACATGTACGTTTGTCAAATACAATTGAGGCATGCAGTTGTGTTTTGGACAACCTGTTGATTTTAAACTCTTACTAGAAATACATGCTTGAAACAACCTCTCGCACACATTTTCTAAATATTGTTTCAACATGAAATCTTCTAAATTTCGCAAACACTGATCCATGCATAGCCATGTACCCGCGATTATTGATGAACTTTAGACTTCGCTAATGCTTTCTTTTCCCGGGTGTAAATAACCAAGCTGAATTAGTACTCTCGCCGCTCTGCGTGTGGTCGGAGAAAATTGGTTACAGATGAGATAGCTGAACTTCGTTCATCTATTAAAACGTGGATATTCGAAAGTGACACACAGGTTTGTGGATTTGTTTTTCGTGGTCTTTGACAATCACTAGATAAAGAGTAAGACAACGTATGGAATAGCCTGCATGTCAGACTCTATGCTTCAAATAGAGCCTGCTGACGAATCGTGCGTAAAATTCCCATTGGTCAGAATTAAATAGCCTTGCCTTTTAAAGTAATATCCATTTGTTGTTTACGTAATATGACATTCCGTACGTGTAATTGTACTTTTGGCCGCATAAATTACTGCCTTTGCTGTCTATAAAGACGCTCAATAACCATTATTTTTATTTAGTATGTAATTCCTGGCCGTTGAAAATTGGAATATTTATTTTCGAGATATTGGCGGAAAATATTGGCGGTCATATTTTAAATTAGCTTTGATAATCTAAATAACAATCGCCGTTTTGATTGGTTGTTATTTTCGTGCATCCAAAGACGATGTGATCTAAAAATCCACACGAGTGACATACGACTTATTAATAGGTCAATACTCACACCACGAACAAAATAAAATTGATTCTTGCGGGGATTGTGATGTTGTGGCAGTGCAGTGGGGACTGCACAAGGATTTGTGGGAAGGGGGAGTAGCGCGATTTATAAGGTACGCGGAGAAATTGAAAATATCACAACTAACTGTGCAATGGTTTAACTTTTCCAAACTTGAACTGTATCAAACATATTCCTTCCCAAAAACAAAGAAAAACGTTAACAACGTGTCTTAATATTATGACTAAACTATACCCAAGTTCTATGCGTTCCACGGTAGTATATAATCTCGTGCCTTGAGCCTGCGGTTCTTATCAGGGGCGTAACTCGTAATATTGCAGGTTCTTATCAGGGGCGTATTGCAGTTTTGCCGGGCAATTTTAACAATTTTAAGAACACGCTCGTCGGGCAAAAAAATGTAATCCAGCAAAACATTAAATATAATTTATTGAAAAGTAATAGTTGTAGCCAAAATTGTGATAAATTTTACGAAAATATTACTGAAAAATTGTACAAATCACGGTAGATAGTTCGACAGCTCTCGCTCCCCCGCTTGCCAACAATTTTGGGAAAAAATAATTAGCGACTGAAATCTCCGTCGGGCACGACTTCGGCCACGCCCTTTTGGTCGGGCAAAACAAGCTCGCACTTCCCCAACCGCGCAATACCGAAGATGCGGTCCTGGTTCTTATATTCGACAACAAGAGCTTTTGGTAGTTTAGTACGTCATCTTGCAAGTATATATTGTGGATATGATCTTATCATATTTCACTCGTGTTCCATTCGTGTTCATCGTGTTCCATTCTTGTTCACTCGTGTTCATTCGTGTTCACTCGTGTTCTGACTCGTGTGGAGTTTTAGATCAGATCTCCAAATGACTGTCCACTTTTTATTGACTTTAGTAGCAGGCTGTATTTCAAGCATAGAGCCTGACACGTAGGATAGGCCTGCTTCCACAATTTTTTTCTGCCTTCGCTTCTCTAGAATTTGTTTTCCTCCGCGCGAATTTGCATGGCTTTGCAACTACACAATATTGGGGCGGGGGGGGGGGCATATTGCCAAACAAAGTTGGTGCCATTCTTATATTGTACAAAATGAAAATTCCAAGTACGCAGACGAAAAAAATCATTGCCACGTATCCAACGCAGTAACTTAATGAAATTCGATCGGTTGCATTGCTGGTGAGAGAAACGAGCCCCCCTGTCTCCTCAGCATAAACATCCGTTAAGCTTTATATTTATTCAGAACAGGTTGCTGTATAACCTGGCATAATTTAACATTACACGCGCGCTCGATCATATGATTACAATTGTATTGATATCAGCAGAAACCTAAGGCAAAACTTGCATAATGCCCAATTTCAACTAATTTTTTTGTAAATTGTTCGATAGCTTATAATTATCGAGCTATAATTATTCTTGGCATGCATGAGTAGAGAGCGCAGTCTGTGTTTTGTTATCTCGTGAAAGCTATACAATTATGTTCATAATCTATGAAATGTTATTAACAATACGTCTATATATGCAGATTAATACATTCCTTGTGAAACTTGGTAAGATACCTCTGGTAAGATACAATCAAACTTTGATAACGAGTCACGTGATCTGTTTGGCAGAATTGAAAGATGTGAAAAGCTTGAGGCGGAGAATACAAAGGAAATAAAACTTCTTGACAGAAAGTTCAGTACGGAAGTCTTGAAATATCATACTGATAGCAAGCAAGAAGAAAATGTTCCTTATATTTTTGACACTCCAGACAGAAACCAATATTTCTCCAGCTGAACTCGAGAACTTCAAGATCTTCAACAGTTGGATCTCTCTCCCAATATATTAAAGTTACTTTCCCTCGTTTCAAGTGTCTCAGTCTGCAGCTGTTGTGGTGACCGGAAGAATTAAAGTACGCTTGTTGAGGAGATTTCAAGTCTTTAAAAAATCGTTGTCTTAGCTTAAAATATCCAGATGAAGAAGAGGGCGAAGCAGGACATGTTTTTTTTGCGATGACAAGACAAATATTATTGCTGAGGCTTGAGAGTCTAGTTAATGCAAAACTCACTAGCTGGGAGGATTGCCACTCGCTCAAGACCAAGAAGAAGAACAATATGTCAATATTTTATTCCGTCATCATAAAATAGTCCGTTGGATTAATCAATAGGCAACATGTATTATGTTGTATGGCCTGTACAAGTAGTAATTATTACCAGGCAGTAATTCGTGGTACTCAAACCTAACGTCATGCACTAAATAATTAAGCATGCACTGTAGTTCAGTTAACTGTTTGTTAGTACTGTTACACGTTTATGCATTACGATTTCTCGGACCAATTTTGCTCAATGTCAATGATGAATGATGTGAATATGGACAGTCAGTGGGTCTCAGTACGCGTTTATTAAAGAGACAGTGGTCAACTTGAGAAACGCTCACACTTCTAGGAAGAAGAAAATTAAACGACGCCAAGAAACGACAGACTACGTTACAACATCAGAGAAAACAGATATTGTCATAGAGCATCACCAGTGGCGGACACTTCGCGAAATATTGGGGGGGAGGGGGGAGGTTTCAACATATATAATATGACAACCTTTTGCAGCTGGCCGAAATCTTATAGCTCTTTAAACTTTTCTGCCTTTAATAAATGAATGGCATGCAATATATGGCTTAGTTTTTAGCCTAGCAATGCTTTCATCGTCGAGAAAAACAGTTTGCTTGTCATCATTGTCTTTGCAAACAGGCTGACCAGCAGTAATATGGTTATAGTGTGTAGAAATTGTTTAATCGCAAAAAAACACGTTTTATTAAATTTTAAAATATCTACACACTAAATAAATATTTTCACTATCGTAAACGTTAAACAACATAAAGAGAGGGAGTCACGGTTTTTTTCGCTGTTAAATTATTTTATTCTGTGCGAACCTCGCATGAAAAGTTCGATGTTTGAACTCAGGTCTATAACTAGATAAACATTTGTTAAGTTCGCTGTTTAAAATGTGCAATTCTATAGCATGAACAGGATATGTTTCAAGGACTCACTTTCGAAACATGACTGCTTTAGCCATGAGGTAAACACTGTTGACATAGCCAGAGAGCAAAGCATGCAAACGAAATTATAAAATTGCCATGGTTGGGCGAATAAAATCATGATCAATATAGGTTTTTTTTCAATCTTTATAATCAATGAAGGTTCTTCTTCAGATTTTGATAACAACATCTTAAAGGGTGAGATACATTGTAGAATGTACTCTTTTAAAAGGTCTAAAAGATATCAATTTTCTTGTGATTGCATTGACCCGTTTCACTAAGAACTTTAAGCAAGCAGAACGGCGACGACAGCTATTCACACTACAATGTATTTCTTACTTCGTAGAAAAGAAATAAATAACTGAAAGCCCCACATGATTCGAGCCTGGAAGGTATAGCTCGATCATAATCTGTAAGATTGCTTGTTTGACATTATTCACTAAGTCAGCATGTATATTCTGCTGGCTCACAAGAATATGTAAAGTTTATATGCTGTTTTATTCACTAGTTATAAACAATGAAATGAAATCAGAAGAAAACTAAAGAACATGTTATGACGTAATACGGAGCTACAATTTCGTGTTCGTGAATGACGTTGCATTCATATGTGGCATGTTCAAAAGCATTTGTCAAATACAAACATAAGAACGAGTGTAAAAGGAATTGATAATATTTAGCTGAGTGTTGTCTGTAAATAATCATTGAGACTGAAATTAAATATTTTAGGAAATATTCATGCCAATCCTTAAGCATGTAGGACTCCCACCACCATTTTAACACGTTCTATATTGACTCATGATCATATCCAATTTAATTGCGCGAATTGTTCTTTGCAACGATAACGTTTGTCTTGGAGAACGCGCAGTGTTGTCTAGAACGCGAAGATGCGAGTTCGAATCTCGCTTGAGACGAATTTTATAGTTGTACTCAGCAGTGTCAGAGTAATATGAAACTAATAGTTTTTCAATATCCCTATCTCCTTTATTCAATATAATCTATCTTCATTATAAAATACCTGGCTTTGGGGGGATATTCCAATTTTGTTTCAAATCTATCCTAACTTGATTCATATTGCTACTAGTTCATATTCCTACTATTTCAATATTCCTCTTGGCTATCGCTCACACTGAGACTGCTCGCCACATGTTCCATTTATACATGCATGTTACCACCAATTAACACAAGGTTCTCGATATACATACCTAGAGGGAACAATTTACAATTGTACGTCTTTTTCATTGAATTTGAATGCATGCCCGGCACTATACATATCGGCCTGTGCAATTGCAAATAATATAAGTATGCGCCTTAATTAATGTTTACAGTCTGAAAAATGACATGAATAAGTTTGTCGAACCCCACATATACCTACCAGAGCGGCACATTCCAATTGGTTATACTAAACTGTCAACGAACTTGAATTTGGATCTTGATGTTCAAAACAAAAATTATGTTTTCTTGACTTTTGATATGGAAATTCGAAATGTTTCTAATATCTTTGCAGTTTAATATTAATTCCATATTCCGACCGCGGAGCTGATCCAGACGAGATTCAAGTCGAAACTCTTAACATTTGAGCAAAGCCACTGAATTCAAACATGACCAAATCTACTAGTCAGATTTTGGTAGCGTTACTGGGAAATTTAAATTGCAGGTTTTCAATTTGGGGTAAATTTTATAATCTATGTGTATGAAAATGAATAATTAGTTGAACCAAATATTTCAACATTGTTGTATCATGTTAGGCATACCAACTTTCGAGTGTATTTGAACAAGTCTAAATCATTTTATTCGAGCAATAATGTCATTAATGTGCATGGTAATACATAATGTGCATGGTAATACATAATATGCATGGTAATACATGGATGATTGCCAATATATAGTCGGCTATAAGTCGATGATAACCCTAACCCTAGCCGGCCACAAGCAGACGATATAATATACACACAGTTCATTTAGCTATGATACGAGTCTCACTCGTTTAATTAGCTCCAAGAAAAAAAATTCACGAGCAAGACTCACAAACTGAAACTCGAGAGCGGGGAGCCAGACTCATGCACAGACTGAAACTCGAGAGCGGGGGCCAGACTCACAAACTGAAACTCGAGATCGGGGGCCAGACTCACAGAACTGAAACGCGAGGGCGGGGGCCAGACTCACAAACTGAAATTCGAGAGCGGGCGATGGTGAAATGCGCTAATCAAAAATTGGAATTACAGTTATATAAATTGTTAGCTGGTGGGAAGTTACTATGTTAAGCCTTTTTAGTATACTGTCATGTCTTTATTCCTAAAATGTTTTATATTTAATTTGGTTTACATGCATAGTACGAGACAGGGTGGCGGGGATGCAGATCCCCAGTCAGTATTTAGTCGGGTATAGATTCTACTTAAAAAATAGGTACGCATTGCGTACATGTAGTTAGCCTATACGATTGGCAATTTGTATAGGGTATAGCTAATTTCGTTCAAAATAAGTAAATTAATTGCTCGTTTGCAATCGAGGCCATCTTGGTTGATTTTTCAACCATTGAACCATAAAATTTGTATTCTTCATTCTTTGTTGTATGGAGTCAGATACCGTATAAACTATCCATAATACAGCAACCTTTTTAAAAACAAACCAGATAATATTAAATTAACTCTACTATTTCGCCGTAAACGGCTAAAATAAATTTTAAAACTCTATCTCGCTCAGTCCCAAGCATCGTAGGACGCTGGAAGCTGCCAACCTTTGGATGTTCATATCTTGAGTTCAGTGCATGCTATGAACACAATAATCAACCAATTCCTTACAATAGTTGTAGTCTTTATCAACATTGTAGCGATTTATGACCTCTGAAAGTCAAACGAGATTGTATATTATCAAATTACTTAACTGTTTGAAAAATAATATAGACTGGCCATACCTTCCGCTGGACATACCTTTCGGCCACGCTGCAGGGATGATTTGACCTTTAGAATCGACTGAGTGCTAAGGATGTAAACATTGCCTTTTTTCGACAATTTAATTTGTATTTTCGGTTGAAAGTCTCGCTAAAAATTTAGTATTCTGAAATGCCGAAATAAAAGATGCAAATCTGTAGATACAAGCCCGGAACATTGCACTGTAAATGGTGTCTTGGATTGTGATTCGAACAAGACTATTACGAAAAAGATATGTTGAAAGCAGCCGAACTTATGTTCGGCGAAAGGTATGCCTTGGTTAATACGCTGTTTACATTGTTCGGGAAAATTGTGTAATCTAATGAATTATGGTATCGCTTGACCTCTAAGGGTCGTAAATCGTTATAACGTTGACATTTTACTAAAACGATCGATAGGAATTGTTTCACTGAATCGAACGGTGGTATTTCTACATAGCATGTACTGATCGAACCAAAGATATGAACCTCCAACTGAACCGACGATATCGAATAAATTTTATGCATTTAAACTACAAAATGCCGCGCATGAGCGGGCTAAGCACAGTCACACGAAACGTTTTTATGGTTTTCTTCATTGTGTTTAGCTGCACATGCGCAGGCTAAATGATAAATGGTAAATTTTTTAGGCTGCTTGCCTCAATATAATTTATTTTGACATGATATTAATGTTTAGATGTTCAGTCAGAGAAACTGAATGACAGATCGAAATTATTTTCCGTTCAATTCAAATTGCATGCAGTAGAAAGAAGGAGTTTTCGATGTATCTTAAAAGAAATCCCAGAAGTACTCGTAAATATATGAAAATATAATCATTTTAAGATTGACTTTGTATTTGTACGCGTCGGTATAGAAGATACGTTCCTTCTATTCACCTTCTATTCATCTATCTCTGAACCCATGATATTGTGGGGGCATTAATGTCGGACAAATTTTTGTTTGCCCACGTAATTTTTTCAATTCCATCCGCATACCTGTGCATGTACGTGACATTGTCCACATCAGACTATAACCTTTGATCACGCACACGTTATCTAGTATTTGTGAAGAAACTTTACATTGTTTATCTGCGGAAGAGGATAGCGTCTCACATGCTGTAGGAACTGCCAACGACCAATGTCAATGTCAATCATATCAATGTTAACCTTTTAAAAAATCCTCCCGAGTGTATATAAAACAACCCTTTCCTGGTACACGAGTCATTCTGGAACTGAACAAAGTCGGCTGCAAGAAAATAAAGTGAAGACTGAAGAACAAGAAAAGTTAATCAAGTTGGTGAAAGAAGATAATATTAAGCAGTATCTGAAGGTATAATTTGGATTTTGATCTATATTTGTGTTTAAAATTTTATAATTTAATAAAATAGATAATTCATGATTGAGGAAAAGACATAGGAAATTACTATCGTTTCGGTGGTTTATATGTGATAAAAAAGCATGATGTTAATTTACATAAATTTTAGCTTTAATTTTCTAGGTTCACTTTTAAAATTACTTCGCCAATGAACTCAGAAGATTCGTTTTTAAGCCATTTAAAATACTAGCAGTCCGTGCTTTACCAGACTATAAGACACTCGGCTGTCGCTTCGTTTCTTATAACTGATAAAGCACTATACTCGTGTTTTAAATAGTACTTCAAAAACTCATTAATAATTCATAAGGAAAACACGATTATCACTGATTATTATTTACTGAGACCGAGGGAAACAGTGTCTTTTGTGGACCCGAGACCGTCGATGTTCGAGGGTCCACAAAACATACTGCTTTCCCGAGGTCCCAGTGGGCCCCTCGTTACTCTATTGTGTTTGTCCCCTTGCCAAGTTGGCGTCGCAAGGCCCGAAAAGGCGTATTCTGCTAACGTTTCAGTGGCAGACATGATCTCTAAGCCACTATATGACGCCGTAGGCGCGGAATACAGACACAATACAATTTAATAGCAGACACAAAACTTGTAGTTTACAGCGTGCCTTTAGATACTTTATTTTATTAAGATAAGTGTTTATCTATAGTGTATTTACCTAATTCTGCGTTTGATGTTAATAACTAAGCTTGCAACCGCAATTGGACCGACGATAACTTGGAGCTAACATACAATAATCCAATAATACAATACACGCTTGGGATTTCAGTATTAAGATTTATTCACAAATAACAACAATCTGAAACTAAATAATAATGAAATTAAATCGGTATGTTTACATATATTAAATTAGTACTAAATCACAAAAATGAATTAACTAAGGCTTTCTACTTACATCTGTCCTAAGCAAGTATCCTTTTCCTTTTATCTTAACATTTAACAATAATAAACCTTACTTAAAACTTTATAAACTTCTTAAAACCATACGAAAACGTGTTCAAAACATTTCTACAAGCTCATCACATTTTTCCTACGAACCCTTCCGACTAAGGTCCGAGTAAACTCCGACTAACTAAAACATTAAAATAGTCTTACATGAAGTCCTTTCATCGTCAATGAAACACTCCCCCCGACAATGGGAGAACTCCCATTCACTCCTCTTCGTAGCCTTCTGCTGGATAAATTACGCATATCTTGTTGATAGGTCGGCTGTAGGTTCCCGTAGCAGTTTTCACCTTCACATTCCTGACCAACCCGTCCTCTCCCTGATAGACTTCCACGATCTTTCCGGTGTTCCACTTTCCCCTTACTGCGTTTGGCTCGGACACTATAACATAATCGTTCACCGTTACATTACGACTTTGCGTATTCCATTTTCTTCGTGGGGTTAATAGCGGTAGGACGTCTCTTGACCACTTCTTCCAAAAAGCATCAATAATTCTCTGACAAAACTCGAATCGGTGGCGAGGATTTTGTGTTTCTCGGAACGGACCTTGAGGCACAGCGTTCGTAGCTCTGCCCAATAGTATATCGTTTGGACATAGGTATCCGCCATCATCCGGATCTGTTGGTACTCTTCCAATCGGCCGTTGGTTAACCAAATTCGCAGCTTCCAAAACGCACGTGTATAGCTCGAATGGTGTTAAAAGGGCGTCGCCGATTGCTCTCTTCATTGCTAGCTTCACACTTTTTACCATCGCCTCAGAGCATCCATTTTGATGCGGTGCCAATGGTGTGATGAATTGCCATTTCATTCCTCTGGCTGCGCAAAATTCTTCCAATTGATCTTTGTTCCATCCTTCGATCATTAACTTCAATTCGTTGTTTGCTCCTACCATCTGCGTTCCGTTGTCAGATAAGAGCACTTTCGGATAACCACGGAATGAAAAGAACCTTCTTAAGACTTGCAAGAGCTCCATCGTGCTGGCATCAACTGCAATCTCGCAATGGATGGCTCTGGTATTCATGCACGTGAATACTACACCATAATGTTTAACTGTTTTGTTTCTGCCTACTTTTACGTTGATTGGTCCAAAGTAATCCATCGTTGAGTAGAGAAACGGTGGGGTGCACGGCTGCAAACGAAATGGTGGCAGGATAGCCATGAGCTGGGTTTCAACTTTCGCTTCGAGCTTTCGACATGTTGTGCACCGTTGCTTGACGACTTTCGCAATCCTATGAGCTTTGATGACCCAATACATTCTACGTATTTTGGCGACTGTCGTGGCGACACCAGAATGACTTGTTTCGTGAGCATCACGGACTATTAAGGTGGACAGATAGTGATCATATGGTAAAAGTGCGGGACGTCTTTCATCGTAGGAAACTAAGGTTGGATCCACACGACCTCCTACCCTGAGGATATTTCTATCGTCCTTATATGGAGACAGGGTCTTGAAATCGCCTCTAGGTAATCTCTTTAAGAGATTTGACTGCATCTGTTTTAGCCAGTACTCCTCCGCGTTTTCCAATTCTTGATTGGTTAATGGACCAACTTCTGGTTGTTGATTTCTCTCATTTCGACCACACTTGATTCGACAATTCTGGATAAATCTCTGGATGTAACTCGTGATCCTTATTACTCGTTTCCACTTCGAGAACCGTTTGCAGTCGAATAACGGCTTGCTGACAGCGACAGGACATACGATCTTGACTTGTCTCCTTTCTTTGTTAACTTCCTTTCTTTCTGGTACGCCAGTTTCCATCGGCCATTGCTCCTCGGGTAACTGTATAAACACCGGACCGTTTAACCATCTACCATTCACTTCTTCAGCCGAAATACCTTTTGTTAAATC